TAACCTGCAGTTATATAGTATATAGGTCTATATGTCTTTGTGTTCCTGTTCAATGAAGTGTATTAAGTGTATGTGTCGTCCTCAAAGTCTTGTATTAATATGTGTTTATATTACCTTGTCATGTAAACGAAGAAAACAGTAAAAACCTGAAGTCTAAAAACAAAAGGAGGTGTCCAGAAGCCTGAGTGCGTCTGTTTATGTAGTCCTGCAGATGGCGCTGTCGCAGTGTAATTTACCTGTAGTATTCAGTGGCGGCGCTGAACTGGCCCAGGAATATCAGAGCATTTCCCAGGTTACTGTAAGCCCTTCGCTCTGCTGCTTTATCGCCAAACTCCTTCGCAATGGCAAGACGCTGAAAACAACAAGCAGAGATTGATGCTGCATCCCAATTCGTACACTTATACTACATTATAGAAGTAAAGAAAAATGACATCCTTTTGAATGTGTAACAAAGGGAGGTCTACAGGGGATACAGCTGCGGATGCTCACATCAATGTAGCATAACTTACTTTTACATTACTGCGAGGGTTGGGTTGGGGCTAGACGTTAATCAAATACAATTAAATGGTTAATTTAATTAATAACATGAATACATTTTGGTATACAGTTTTTTACATTACCCTTATTGTTGGATTTACAGCCAAAGGTACACATAAATGCAATTTCATGGGTAATTTAATAAATGAAATTTACAATATTCGGTATATTCACTGTTTTTACATTTCTGTAATGCTTAGATTTAGGGTTGGTGTGGGGGTAGACGTTAATAAAATACAATTAATGGGTAATTAAAAAATATAATAGAAATAATCCTCGTTATTTACGCCTGCAGCTGTATCCCTTATACAAACGTCCTTATTGACGGACCGCTATGTTAGTTACATTCCTGTCAAAATTCTCTACCCATTATCCACGTTTCATTAATATTTAGCAAACGTTACCCACTATATTGAAGATTTAGCTGTGTATTAATCTGCTATTCGCGAGTCTTTCAAGCAGAGAAATCTCCTCAGTGCACAATTCAGCAGTTATAATGATTAAACACGTCTTTATAGAAGTTCACGTTGTTGTTACAGACAAACTAGAACACGGAAAGCGCGATTTAATTGTTTTCCAGAGGGCTACACATTAATTAACAGTCATTCAAACAACTTTACCGAAGCCTCGCTACTTGACGGTTGGTCTCGCGCGTCCGCCATGTTTGTAGTTTGTTTACACTTTTACTCCCGCGTTTGTAGTTCTAATCTATTTCACGTCCAACACGCAACAGAATCAAAAGTTCCCGATCACACATTATTTTACATTAACAATGGACTAAGTTTACTATAAATTATAGGCTACATATCATTCCAGCTTAAGGAAAGTCAATGGAAAATGCTTGAAATGTAAAATGTAATTAAGGAATGAGTCTGTGCTATGCTGAAAAATCCAGCTTAAACCAGCCTAGGCTGCTTGGCTGGTTTTAAGCTGGTCGACCAGCCTGGTTTTAGAGGGGTTTTGGTCATTTCCAGCCTGGTTTCTAGTCTGGTCTTAGCTGGTCAGGCTAGAAAATAACCAGCTAAATCCAGCTAAAACCAGCTAGACCAGCCTGGTTTAAGGTGGACATATCTGGGTTTGGCTGGACTCCCAGCCTGGCTAGGCTGGTTTTAGCTGGTCATCTCTCAGCCTGACCAGCTAAGTCCAGGCTAGAAATGGCTGGAAACCAGCCTGGGAATGGCCAAAACCCCTCTAAAACCAGAATGGTCGACCAGCTAAAACCAGCCCAAGCTGGTTTGAGCTGTTTCTTTCAGCAGGGTGGTCAGTGTTTTACCTCTCGGTGGAACTTGATGGCCTCCACAAAGTTGCCCAGCAGGTAATGAGTGTTACCCAGGTTCCCGAAAGCTCTTCCCTGAGCGGCCCGATCCCCCAAATCCTTCACCAGAGACAGATTCATCCTGAACACATACATACACATACACACACACACACACACACACACACACACACACACACACACACACACACACACACACACACACACAACAAAGTCTTAAAAAAAAAACATAACATTCACACAGTCCAAACACATGCGCTATAGGTCAATTTAATTAACAAAACGGTCATAGTGTATAAATGTGTATGGGTGTTTCCCAGTACTGGGTTGCAGCTAGAAATGCATCCACTGCGTAAAACATATGCTGGATTAGTTGATAAACAAAGGGAATAAGCCGAAAGAAAATGAATGAACGAAGTCTTTAACGTACCCCTATGTGATTTGCAAATCTTTCCGTTCTCCTACTGTTCAAGGCACACGAGGGAGAGTTTAATGAGTGTTTCAGGCCTCTGTCTGACACCTCTGCTCTCATTTATGAGTGTTTAACCTTCTGGATGTGCTAAGTGTGTGTGTGTGTGTGTGTGTGTGTGTGTTTATAATGAGTCTCTGGAGTGTGCAGAGCAGCTCTCAGTGGGGTTGCAGGATACTGGGGAAAAACACTGTGATATTTAGTTTCTCTGCAATTTGTCCAGATGAACACAGATATATTAGCCCTCCTCTGAATTTTTAACCTTTTAATTCAATATTTTCCGATTGCTGTTTACTGGAGAGATCTTTTTTAATGTATTTTTTAAAAATGCAACATTTTATGTAACAAGTTCAGGCTAAAGAAATGTTTACGGCAAGGGTGAGAACTATATTGTGTTATACAGCTTTGTGTTTTCTGTAAATGTTGAGTATAAATAAATAAATAAATAAATAAATGCAAATCTTTAAAAATCGCAAAGTGAAAATTAATTTTTGAGAAATACAAATTAAATTTGCAAACAAAAGAATTGCAAATAAGCCATGCAAAACCCTAGAGATGGTTGTGCGTGAAAATCCCAGTAGATCAGCAGTTTCTGAAATACTCAGAGCAGCCCGTCTGGCAGCAACAACCATGCCACGTTCAGAGTCTCTTAAATCCCCTTTCTTCCCCATTCTGATGCTCGCTTTGAACTGCAGCAGATCGTCTTGACCGTGTCTGCATGCCTAAATGCAGTGAGCTGCTGCCATGTGATTGGCTGATTAGACATTTGCGTTAACAAGCAGCTGGACAGGTGTACCTAATAAAGTGGCCGGTGAGTGTAGTTTCAGTTGCAAGTGCATCAACACACTGAAATAAAGGTCTCTGCAACTTCCGGTTCACATTGACTTTAAGATCTTTACTCACTCACAGAATGCTGTGGCTCTCTGCAGTGTGTGTGTGTGTGTGTGTGTGTGTGTGTGTGTGTTTTAGTGTGTGTTTCTTTTCTGAACTCACTCACAGAATGCTGTGGCTCTCTGCAGTGTGTGTGTGTGTGTGTGTGTGTGTGTGTGTGTTTTAGTGTGTGTTTCTTTTCTGAACTCACTCGTAGAAGGCCGTGGCTCTCTGCAGTGTTTCTCTGACGTCTGGAGGCAGATCTCCACGCTCCTGACAGACGCCCCACAGCTGCTGCTTGCCTTTAGCATGAAACACGTTCCCTATGTTATACAGAGCCCGCGCTTCACCCACCTGCACACAACAATACACACCGTTTTACAGCGATTAATCCAGGAGATTTCATTTATATATTTATAATGCATTTATCGATTGAAGAAATTAAATTGAATTATATTAATTGCATTAAAGAAAACACGTGCAACTACAAAAGATGTCAGCAAATTAAGAGAAGATCGTCATCAGCACACACTCGGCCTTTATTCTATTATGCTCAGGAAATAAATGAATTAAAGACTAATCGTGACGGAGGTGACACTGAAGCAGAGCTGTACTGTCTGTCCTCCTCCTCCTCCAGTATTTCTCCATGGATAAGCAGTGTTCTTCTCACCTTGTCTCCCTGCTCTTGAGAAATATCCAGGTGTCTCTGACAGCAGACCGCAGCTTCATCATATTGGCCCAAAACCTTCAGCGTGTTTCCCAGATTCCCGCTGGCCTTCCCTTCTCCAACACGGTCCCCGATCGTCCTGCATTTACACCACAAACAGCCGTTAACCACACCGGGAATACCCCTGCATCACTGCTTACAGATGGAGATGATAAAATATACTCGCCCTCCTGTGATATTGATATTTTTTGCAAATATTAGGGAAGTTATATAATCGTCTGCAAAAATATTGTTGTCATTATTTGGTTTGATTCAGTTGAAATGCATAAAAACATACTCTTTTATTGGTAAACTTGCTCAATTTTTCAGAGGACAGGTTTGTTTTTAATTAAAAATTAATTAATTTAATTTTAATTAAACTTAATTAATTGTATTTTACTTTGAGGGGATAGTGGAAAAATAAAAAAACTAGGACAGTCTGTTATGTTTCTTATTCTGTATTATATACTACTATGTATGGTATTGTTAAATACCAATAAATTATATATATATATATATATATATATATATATATATATATATATATATATATATATATATATATATACACTGCTTAATTTATTGATTGATTTATAAATTTATTTATTGGTTTATTTATTGGTTTATTTTTTTATTTTTTATTGGTTTGTTTATTTATTTATTGGTTTATTTATTTATTTATTTATTGGTTTATTTATTTATTTATTTATTGGTTTATTTATTTGTTTATTGGTCTATTTATTTATTGGTTTATTTGTTTATTTATTTGTTTATTTATTTATTGGTTTATTTTGTTTACTTTTGGTTTTTTTATTTGTTTGTTTATTTGTTTGTTTGTTTATTTATTTATTTATTGGATTATTTATTTGTTTATTTATTGGTTTATTTATTTACTTTTGGTTTGTTTATTTATTTGTTTGTTTGTTTGTTTATTTATTTATTTATTTATTGGTTTATTTATTTGTTTATTGGTCTATTTATTTATTGGTTTATTTATTTATTTATTTATTAGTTTATTTTTATTTATTTATTGGTTTATTTATTTGTTTATTGGTCTATTTATTTATTGGTTTATTTATTTATTTATTTATTGGTTTATTTATTTACTTTTGGTTTGTTTATTTATTTGTTTGTTTATTTGTTTATTTATTTATTGGTTTGTTTATTTACTTTTGGTTTGTTTATTTGTTTGTTTGTTTGTTTGTTTGTTTGTTTGTTTATTTATTTATTGGTTTATTTATGTGTTTATTGGTCTATTTATTTATTGGTTTATTTGTTTGTTTGTTTATTTATTTATTGGTTTATTTATTTACTTTTGGTTTGTTTATTTGTTTGTTTGTTTGTTTATTTGTTTATTTATTTATTTATTTATTTATTGGTTTATTTATGTGTTTATTGGTCTTTTTATTTATTGGTTTATTTGTTTATTTATTTATTGGTTTATTTATTTACTTTTTGTTTGTTTATTTATTTATTTGTTTGTTTATTTTTTTGTTTACTTATTTATTTTTATGTATGCATGTTTGTACTTTCATTTTAGTTGTCTTCTACTCCCTTAATTTTAATTTCCAAAATAACTCCTCATTGCACTTGTTTACAATGTTTACAATGATAACAAATTTTTAAATGATTTATGTAGGAATTATAAAGCTTTTTCATTGTTGTTATTTCATGTTCGTTTACAGGTAGCAGGGTAACCTCTTTGTGCCCCCTGATGGCATTGTCGCAAACTGCTGTTACACCTAAATACATTTAAATAAACTCTTTGTCCTGTGGCAGCGTCACATATGGCAGCAGTGGTCATTTGGAACGGTCACTCACTGTATATGTATTTGCATATGTATGTATGTGTCTAATATACATAATAATATCATCTTTCTCACCGTGCGAGTGTCAGGTCATGTCTGTGGTACTCCATGGCTTTACCATACTCCTTCAGGTAAAAGTATGCGTTTCCCAGCTGGCTGTAAATGGCACTGAGGGTCTTGAGATCTTCTGTTCCCACCTGAACAGCGGCTTCGAAGAACGCCGTACCGCCTTTAAAATCGCCCGCTTTACACAGCCTCTCGCCCTCCAGCGCCAGCTCCAGACACGACGCCTCCATCCTGAAAACACCACAGATAATAGCACACTTCAGTAAGAAATAATGCTCTTAATAGTAGTCTAAAATGCTTGTATACGTGTAGTTTTGGTACTAACTTTGTGTTAGCCATTTTTATTTAATACATCAGTATTTTAGAGCTTTAGTGTTGTCGCCTTTTTGTATAAATCAATCCAATACAATGCAAATAACCCCAGCGGATCATGAGAGAATCCAGGGGCGGGTTTAACCAATAAGCAAGATAAGCGGTCGCTTAGGGCCCCAGGAAATCTGAGGGCCCCCAAATAAATACATAGAAGTATAAATTATACCTGTAAATTATACATAACATCATTTTCTGTCATATTTTGTATGATGAGAGTCTATAAAAATACATGTTTAATGGTTTTTACATCTGCGCAAATGTGTCCCCCATTCAACATCAATCATGGAGAAGTCCAGCAGTCAAACTGGGTAAAGATTTAGTAAAGATAGTAAAAACTAAATATTTCTTTTATAATTTTTTATTGAGTGACTTAGAAACTTTTGATTATAAATAAAAAAAATTTATTGGTTTATTTATTTCTTAATGTATTTATTTATTAGTTTATTTATTTATTTATTGGTTTGATTATTTAGTTTTTGGTTTATTTATTTATTCATTTATTTAGTTTATTTAATTATTTATTCATTTATTTGTTTAATGTTTTATTTATTTATTTATTTATTTTTTTTTTAATTGGTTTATTTACTTATTGGTTTATTTATTTATTGGTTTATTTAATTATTTATTTATTTATTTGTTTAATGGTTTATCTATTTATTTATGTAATCATTTATTGGTTTATTTATTTATTTATTTTATTTATTTACTTATTGGTTTATTTATTTATTTAATTATTTATTGATTTATTTGTTTATTGGTTTATCTATCCTATCTATTTATTTATTTATTTATTTATTTATTGGTTTATTTATTTATTGGTTTATTTACTGGTTTATTTATTTATTGGTTTATTTGTTTATTGATTTATTGATTTGTTGGTTTATTTATTGGTTTACTTGTTTATTTATATATTGGTTTGTTTATTTATTTATTTATTAATGTATTTTAATTGGTTTATTTTTTATTGTTTACTTATTAGTTTATTTATTCATTGGTTTGTTTATTTATTTATTTATTGGTTTATTTATTTATTTATTTAGTTAGTTATTTGTTTATTTATTGGTTTGATTATTATTGATTGATTTCTTAATGTATTTATTTATTGGTTTATTTATTTATTTACTGGTTTATTTGTTTAATAGTTTATTTATTTATTGGTTTATTTGTTTATTGGTTTATTTATTGGTTTACTTGTTTATTTATATATTGGTTTATTTATTTATTTACTAATGTATTTTTATTGATTTATTTTTTATTGTTTATTTATTGGTTTATTTATTCATTGTTTTGTTTATTTATTTGTTGGTCTATTTATTTATTGGTTGATTTATTTAATTATTGGTTTATTTATTAATTGGTTTATTTATTAATTAATTTATTTATTTATTAGTTTGTTTATTGGTTTATTTATTGAAACGAAAAACAAAATAAGTAATATATAATTGTTTAGTTGTGAATTCATTTTAAGAAAACAAATTAATTAAAATGTGTGCCAAGATGCTTTAAATGTTATTATTATAATTATTTTGCATTAAGATAAAATAGAAAAGGAGTGATATAAGGAACAAAACTAAAAAATAAACCACTTAAAAATACATTAAAATAGAAAAGGTGCATTTCAGGATCTTTTGGGCCCAAGGCTGGAATTGCTTAGGGCCCACAATTCACTAAATCCACCCCTGATAGAATCATATATACCAAAAACACCAACACGCTTTAAATGGGCTTTAAGTAAAAGTGCAAACACTATTAAACTGACCACTGCAAAACTAAGCCCATCACTAATGTAAAAGCATGCAGAATGCTAAAATGTGATGGGGAACATTTGATTCTGTTAGTAATTGTTGTACGATGAAAATTAGACTTGATTATAATTAAAGCTGAATGTGTGATTCAGTAGGCGGTGACTTTATATAGGTTTAAGCTCATATTTATAAGACTAAATATCTCTAAATATAACGCTATAATAACACCAGGTTATTCACAAAGGCTGCAAATGAACACCAATGTGCTTCCAAGAGAAACGATGCGAGTTTCAGGAATGTCTTGGTCCAGGAACGAGACAGAGGATCATTCTAGCAGAGCTTCTATTGTCCTAATGTGATACTCAGCTTCATTTTAATCAGTCTGGCTTTCACATTACGGTCAAAAGTAAAACATATTTCAGTCTCTGTGGTCTGAAACGCATTACATCTGACAGGCCGCTCCTGCTTCAGTTTCTCCTCTACAAATGTCTGGAGTTTTTTAGCTTGGCCGCTGCGCTCGAGAGATTTCTTCAGCTCTGCGGTCTGGAAAACATTCTGGCTCCTTCATCCACCTCTGCTTGGTTTCTCTCTGGGTCAGTCTGACTGAGTAAGACCACAGAAATACCCCACAACATTTAGGCATGCTTCTGTAATGATATACAAGTGGTGCTTGTATTGGGAATAGTGTGTTGCTTTGTGGTTGCTAGTGTCGGGGTTTTTAGGTGTCTCTACCATTTGGCAAATCCTTCTGTGATGCTTTGATTAGATGAGTCGGTAAACACTGAGTTCAGTGATTTAAACTGAGCTTCATCTTAAACTCCACATCTATAATCCTCTTAGTCTATGCTGACATTATCTTCAGCAGCTCAAACACTCTAATGGCTAATGGACAGACGGCTGCTTCTCACTCAGGGCTGCTGGAGATGCTAATGAGATGGAGAGATGGGCACTAGTGGGCGGGGCTTTCCCCCTCTGATGACACGTACAAAGGCAGAATGTCAATCAAAGTGTTTCATTCATCAAGTCTGATTGTAAAAACGTAAAACTAACACATCTCCACAATTAAAAGCTGGTTATATTCACACACTGCTGCGTTTAGACTCTGTATAAAAGTGAGTTATGCTTAATAGGTGCTCTTTAATGCACCTTGAGGTAACATCAACAACTGTATTTACATTAACCAACGTTAACATGAATAAACCCTGGAATAAATGTATTGCTCCTTATTTGTTCATGTTAGTAACTTAGGCTGCTTTCACACCTGCCTTATTTAGTTCTGCTCGAATCGCAGTAGAGCTCGTTTTCCCTCTTAATGCAGTTCGTTTGGGCAGGTGGGAATATAACGGTGCTTTCACATCTGTGGATCGGTTTATTTGGTCCGGACCAAGGGCAACAATAGACCTACATTGGTCACACTTTACAATAAGGTTCATTAGTTAATGTTAATTAACGCATTTAATAACATGAACAAACAATGAACCATGCATCTACTGTATTTGTTCATGTTAGTTAATGAAAATACAGTAGTTCATTGTTAGTTCATGTTAACTCATGCTGCATTAATGTTAACAAGCATGGAGTTGGATGTTAATAATGCATTAGTAAATGTTTAGTTATGATTAATAAATGCTGTACATGTGTTGTTCATAGTTAGTTCATGTTAGTAAATGTATTAACTAATGAACCTTATTGTAAAGTGTTACCCCTACATTTGTAGCTGTCTTAAGGTCCATTTCACACCACACTGACTGCTGTGGTCCGAACCAGTTGAAAAGAACCAAAATGCAAAATGCAAAACCCACATCACTCATTGGCCAGAAGTTGTTCATGTATTTCCTTAACTGCTTTTCGATTGGTCAGAATTCACGTTCGGGAAAATGCCAGTGGAACTCCCGCAAGTAAACAAACCGGCAGACACAACATGTCACTTTATATATATATATTACACTCTCAGAAATAAAGGTATAAAGGAGCTGTCACTGAGCTGGAACCTTTTCAAAAGCTACACATTTGTACTTAAAGGGTCCATATTGGTACCTCAAAAGTATATATTAGTACCTTAAACATTTATGAGAACAATTGAGTTATGCATTTATAAAAATCTGTAGCACAACTGAATTATATTAGTCATTATAACTTGATTTATTAAAAGTGTTTTAATTAGTGATATGCATTGCTTAAGAACTTTATAGATAAAAACAATATGCATGCATTTCCTAAAGAAAAGTTTAGTTATGCATTCTGTTTCAGTATAAAATAAGCACAATATGTGCAACTAATCCGTCTTTTTAGCTTTTATTAAAATATCAAGCTGCATATAACCAATATAATACATTCTAAGAGTTAAAATGATCAATTCTTAAGCCAAAAATCAGCAGAATGTTAAGTAAAGATCATGTCCTATGAAAACATGTTGTAAGAGTTCTACTGTAAATATCACAAAATCAATCTCTGATTATTAATATGCACTGCTAAGACCTTCGTCTGAGCAACTTTACTGGATGCATCTGTTAAAAAACATTTAAGTTATGCCTTCAAAAAAATCTGAACTACAACTGAATTTTATTAATCATTATAACTCAATTTATTAAAGTGAGTTTGATTATTAATATGCATTGCTAAGAGCTTAATTCGAACAACTAATTTTGATAGAAACACTATGCATGCATTTCATAAAGAAAAGTTTAGTTATGCACACTATTTCAGTATAAAATAAGCACAATGTATGCAATTAATGTCTCTTTTTTTAGCTTATGTTGAAATCTCAGGTTGCATATTTGCAGGAATAACCAATAGAATACACTCTGAGTCAAAATTATTGATTTTTGAGCCAAAATCAGCAGAATATCAAGTAAAACACAACAAAATCAATCTTTGATTATTAATATGCATTACTAAGAGATGAATTTGAGCAACTATACAGATTAAAATATGCATGCATTTCCTAAAGAAAGTTCTGCATTCATAAAAAGCACATAAAATGCTTTAAATACACAAACTAAACTGCTTTTCGATTGGTCAGAATTCATGTTTGGGAAAATGCCTGTGGAACTCCCGCAAGTAAACGAACCGGCAGACACAACATGTCACTTATATATATATATATTACACTCT